ATATTGGGCTTTGGGGGGGACATTAGATACAAGCCATAACAGGGAGACACTTGATAATGCTGAGTGAATACATCAGGAAGACATAACAATTAGAAATATATGTGTACTTCACAAATAAGCACAAAATATATGACATTAATCTTAGCAATAACCCAGATGAAGAAGGAGAGGGCAGGGTTAGGAGATACAGCAAAGGATTAGACCTTGAGGAACATCAACGCTGTCATCAATGCTGACAAGGAGCAGAGAGATAAAAGGGAAACCAGAGGGATGGGGATTTAGCTCAGTGGCTCCCCCACCTGCCTCAAAGGCACAAGGTCCCAAGTTCAATCCCCAGTACCAAAAACAAAGGTGGGGGGACCAGAAAGGTGATCTCAGGAAGCAAAGATGGGGTAGGGAGAGAATACGATTAACTTAACAACAAATGCTAGGAAGCCAGGGGAAAAAAGTGATGAAGAATGATAAGGAAGGGTCAGGGATTTAGCTCAGTGATGCTTTTGCCTGCCTCCCAAGCAAAAGGTCCCAAGTTCGATCCCCAGTACCAAAAAAGAATAAAGAAAGGAGATTCTCCATCACATTTTAGAATTTGAATGTAAATGTTAACCTTAAGAAAGCAGCTTCAGTGGACTGGTGGGCTGTAGTGGGATTGGTTGGAGATTAAAGTAAACCAGATTATGGTGGATTAAATTGCAGACCCACCCTAGGGAAGCATGGACAGGGAATGCCTAGAATATTCCCTGCTTAGTTTAGCTTTGAAAGGAGAGGCAGGAAGGCAGGGGATTTAGCTCAGAGGTTCCGCCATCTGCCTCACTAGCACAAGGACCTAAGATCTATCCCCAGTACTGGGAAAAAAAGAAAAAAAAAGAGAAAGGAGAGGCAGGGGACTGGGGATTTGGCTCAGTGGTTCCGCTGCCTGCTTCACAGGTGCGAGGACCTGAGTTTGAATCCCTGTACCAAAAAAAAGAAAGAAAGGAGAGTAAGATGGTAGGCTAGAGGACAGGAGTTAAAGGGGTGGAGATCTTCTAAAAGTCTATTTTCTTAAGTCTGGAGCTGGATGACATGTCAGAAGAGTAAAGATGCATGCTTACGTGCCAAGGAAATGAGAGACACAGAGACCGAGGAATTGTCTAGGCACAGGAGGACAAGTGACATAGGTGAGGATCATTGCAATAGGCCCAGAGATAGTTCTTTATTCTAGATTCTTCACCATCAGTTGGTGAATATCCCTAAGACATGATTTTTGGGAAGATTCAGTTAATTGCATAGGGAGCACTTCTTCTGTATTGTAACAGGCATCTCTACAATTTTTTAGTTCATTAAATCATTCTTCTGATCAATAATCAACATCACTCCATTGCCTACAGGGAATACAAACAGAAGGCTATTCCAGGCCTTTGAGCATCTAGCTGAAATCGTGGTCTCCAGCCCAGCTGCTATGTTGGCCTCCGCACAAACGTGCCTTATGCATCCTGCTGCCTTTGCCCTGTTCCTGTGTTCCTTCTTCAGGGATAAGGAGACTGAGGATAAAATTCCAACTTATCACAGACTACAAGGTCCACTGAATCTGCTACTGCCTGCCACCAATTGCACAAGCACCTCTTCTCCCCGTGCCTCTCCTCTTCCTTGAACAGGGGAAGACTCTGCTGCCTCCATTCATCTGTGTTGTGCTGCCTGGAACGCTTTCTCTACACCGTGAGGGGCTGGTTCTCCTCTCACAAGTATCAGCCCAAATGCCACTCCATCTCACCTGATGAAAGTAAATCCCGCAGCCTGTTAGCAGCAATCATAATGCATTTATTTCCTCCAAATCACCCAGAACAATCTGTACTTATTGGATTCATTTTTGTTCATTGTTTTTCCCCTTTTCTTCCAACAAAATGGAAGCTCCATGAGGGTGGGAACCCATCTGTCTTATCTCCTTCTTATTCCCCACGTTGAGTACAGTGCTTGACAAGCGTTTTTAAATATGCTTCATGAATGGATAAATTTATTTTTTAAAATCCAGCTTGAATCCCACTTCCACACAAACATGCCTTAGTGTAACTGCTTCCTATGTGTTAAGTGCATATTGTGTCCTAGTAATTACTCATGTTATATTAGCTCATTTAAGGCCCCTCTATTTACTTGCCAAAGCTCACATAGTAGTTATAATCCAAGCCACACACTATGAAGTCAAAAGTTAGCCTGTTGTGCCGGGATATAGCTCAGTAAGCCTGCGCCTGCCTCACAAGTGCAAAGTCCTGAGTTTGATCCCTGTACCCCCACCAAAAAAAAAAAAAAAACAGCCTGTTGCTTGTTATTTAATATATCACATGCAACACTCTTAAGAGAATTCAAGGTATGCTAAGGAACCAAGGACACCCCCAACATGACAGCATCATGAGAATGTTGATACACTGTCTGTGTTAAATCAAAGATGACCACAGCTGAACATTAGTTATACTGGTGAAAACATTTATTCAGGGGATTTAGCTCAGTGATTCTGCTGCCTGCCTCGCAAGCACAAGGACCCGAGTTCGATCCCTGGAACAAAAAAAAAAAAAAGTAATTGTAGGGAAAAGACTCTGAGTGCTATGGTTTTTATCTAGATCTCCCCCACAAAGTTCCATGAGCTCAATCAGGGCTTTTGAAAGGTAATGAAATTATAGAGTCTTGTAGCTAATGCACTAATAGGGTGCTGGGTTTGGTCAGAAGAGTCAGGTCAGTGGGGGCATGGCCTGGAAGGGTTATCTCCCTCCCTAGCTCCTCCAGTGGTTATTTCTGTTTCTGGTCCACCATGCTTCGAGCCGCTCTCTTCCACTATGCCCCTGTGCCATGGTGTCGTGCCAGCCTAGTATGAACTGAAATGTAAGCCAAAATAAATCTCTCCTCCCTCTATTTTGTTATTTTGTCCCAGCCATTAGGAAGTAACTAAGACCTGAGGTAACTGGAGCTTTTTTTTTTTTTTTCCCTAAGAGAAAATAAGGGAAAGTGGGGAGAGGAATGGCAGGGCCCTTGACTGGAGTCAGGGAAGTGAAAAATTACACAAGTGGCAGAGGGGGTTGGTGTATGTGAAATACACCCAGGTTTGCCACCTGGCACTCGTGGAAGTCAGACTCCTTCCCTCCCACAGAGGGTGGGAGACTGGCCCCTGTCATCGGGTAGACAGAGGTGAACAGCCAATTCTTTTTTCAGCCTGGAGTTTCCTCAGACAGGCATTTTAAGGGGGACTAGGATGAGCCCTTGAGCTGCTGGAAACTGTTAGCATTTGTTGAAATTTTTACAGGCCGAGGTTGAGGCCTAAAAAAAAAAAAAGAGGCTCCTCAGAAGAGCATGGTTAGCATTTGGTCAAGGAGGGAGTCTTCATCAATTATAAACTTTGAACAGAACCTCTAATCTGATTTGCAAGTGGACAAATTCGATCCTACCTGTAAAGATGTCAAAAAACAGTTACAGCAAGATAGTCTGAGCTTTGAGGTATGAGATATATGCACCTCGATTCCCCCTTTTCCAGAAGTGTTTGCTAAATCTTAACTTTCTAGAAAGGATTGTCTATTCTACCCAAAAAAACTCTATAAAACCAAGTTACTTCACAGTGAGAAGCCACAAAAAAGCGTTCCTAGTATTGCGTGTTAACGCTTGGGTTTTGGAATATGCAGTGCTGAGCAGTCCCAGCTGGAGCCACGGTGTCACTGATTTCCCGCAGCGGGTGTGGAATCTAAAGTCTGTAAGGCCAGAGGTGGAAGGGATAAGGACCTCTCACTCTTCTAGATGCTTCCGCAACCTGGGAATTCCGGCCCGCTTCTTACCTTACACGCCAGTTACAATCTACTCCTTCAAGTTTGGGGTCAGATCCAAAGGAGCACCCCTAGATTCCAAGGAATCCTCCATTCTTGTAAAATATAACAATAGGGGCAGTCTTCTCTCCCGACAGCATCTGCGTGTGGCCCACCCCAAGACTGGCAGTAAGCTGGGGATCCCCAAGGGCTCTTATTTCCTGCTTTCTACCCCCGCCCCCAGTCTTTCAAGAGTCACTCCTGAAGTCATCTTAGTCTCTGAATACTCGGACCAGCGACTTTCTTTTGGGCTCCACCCTTTCGCCAGGAAAATGTCACTGAACCTGTCTCTCCCCACCCCACAGGCGAGCTGGGAGCACCTGTCCTACTGGGTGTGTCCCCCCCCCCCGACAGCCTCCCTTCTATTAAACAGGGTGTCATCTCTCAATTAGATCTTAAACTCCACGGACCCAACTTTTCATTGAAGTAGAGTCTGGGTGAGGCTGCATCTTACCAAGGACTCTGTTTTTTGCTTCTTTAGGGGCCAGGAAGGTAATAAGTCCCGTCTCTGATAAAAAGTTTAGCAAGTACCTCTTTGGCGGCCACCTGCCTCCCAGGACCGGGCTCCGGGGGCAACCTATACTCCTCTTATCATGTCAGGGACCCTATAAACTAGGGGGAACTCTCGCCACTTTTTATGTCACAATGGCAAGGGAAATGACTAGTACAGCACTGCAGACTGTGGCCCGTGGAGGAGGAAGGAGACAAAGGTGTTGCCATGATCCTGCAGGGCTGGTCTCCGGCAAAGACAAGGCCTCGCGCCCACTCAGAGGCTCAAATTTAGACACTAACATTATCTCCAAATGAGCCTGTAGAGTCCCAACGCGAGTGTCAGTGGATCCTGTATCCGCAGCGAATAAACATAAAAAATCCACAATGTGAGCCTGCTTTTGGCTCACATAAAAAATCCACAATGTGAGCCTGCCTTGTTTTGTTGTGCACCGCACATATGAGGAACCAAAACAAAAATTCGGATCCTGTCCCACTACTTTGAGGACCCCGCCACTACCGAGGGGCGGTTGGAAAGCTGGGTTTGAGGTGCGAGACCGCGGATAGCAGGTACAGCGTCCCAGACTCTCCCTCGGCGGGGGCGGGGCTTTTCAGAGCCTGGGCG